GGCACCTAGGGTTGGAAACCCTAGGGGGTGGGGGGGCCTCCCACCTGCTTGGGGGGCAAGTCTCCCCCCTGGCCGCCGCCCCCTCCATCTAGATGCATCTAGGGGGCCGGCCCCCTCTTACTTTCCCCCTATATATAGTGAGGGTGTGGGAGGTCAGCCGCACCCCTTTCCCTGGCGCAGCCCTCCCCTCCTCCAATTCCTCCTCCTCCATAGTGTTTAGCGAAGCTCTGCCTGAGAACCACGAGCTCCACCGCCACCACGCCGTCATGCTGCCGGAGCTCTCCCTCAACTTCTTCTCTCCCCTTGCTAGATCAACAAGGAGGAGACATCCCCGGGTTGTACGTGTGTTGAACGCGGAGGCGCCGTCCATTCGGCGCTTGGATCGGATATTCCGTGATTTGAATCACCGCGAGTACGACTCCATCAACCGCGTTCTTGTAACGCTTCCGCTTAGCGATCTTCAAGGGTATGAAGATGCACTCCATCTCTCTCGTTTCTAGCATCTCCAAGATTGATCTTGGTGACACGTAGGATTTTTTTTGAATTATTACTATGTTCCCCATCAGTATGAACTATGGGTTGGCAAGAAACCTAAGTTGTCGTTTCTTAAAGTTTGGGTTGCGACACTTATGTCAAAAGGCTTCAGCCTGAGAAGCTCGAACTCAAATCGGAGAAGTGCATCTTCATAGGATACCCTAAGGAAACAATTGGGTGCACCTTCTACCATAGATCCGAAGGCAAGATCTTTGTTGCCAAGAATGGAACCTTTCTAGAGAAGGAGTTTCTCTCGAAAGAAGTGAGTGGGAGGAAAGTAGAACTTGACGAGGTAATTGTACCTTCTCTCAATTGGGAAAGTAGCACATCAGAGAAATCTGTTCCCGTGATGCCAACACCAACTAGAGAGGAAGTTAATGATGATGATCATGAAACTTCGAATCAAGTTACTACTGGACCTCGTAGGACGAACAGAGCACATTCCACACCAGAGTGGTATGGTAATCCTATCCTGGAAGTCATGTTACTAGACCATGGCGAACCTACGAATTATGTAGAAGCTATGATGAGCCCAGATTCTGAAAAATGGCTTGAGGCCATGAAATCTGAGATAGGATCCATGTATGAGAACAAAGTCTTTGGTAGACTTGCCCGATGATCGGCAAACCATAGAGAATAAATGGATCTTCAAGAAGAAGACTGAAGCTGATGGTAATATTACTGTTTACAAAGCTTGACTTGTCGCAAAAGGTTTTTGACAAGTTCAAGGGGTTGACTACGATGAGACCTTCTCACGTAGCAATGCTTAAGTCTGTCCGAATCACGTTAGCAATTACCGCATTTTATGAAATCTGGCAAATGGACGTCAAAACTGCATTCCTTAATGGATTTCTTAAAGAAGAGTTGTATATGATGCAACCAAGAGGTTTTGTCGATCCTAAAGGTGCTAAAAAAGTGTGCAAGCTCCAGCGATCCATCTACGGACTGGTGCAAGCATCTCAGAGTTGGAATATACGCTTTGATGAAGTAATCAAAGCATATGGTTTTATATAGACTTGCGATGAAGCCTGTATTTACAAGAATTTTTTTGTTTTCCATGCTACCTTTCCCAATAGTATTTCCCTTAGTGAGAATCTAGGTATCAATCTAGTAGGAGAATCACACAAAGCCTCGTGAACAACACCTACACACACAAAAGCAAATACTTGCGCCCAACGCGGGCAAGAGGGTTGTCAATCCCCTTGAACTTGTTACTTGCAAGGATTAATTTGATAGTGATAGGTAGAAAAGTAAATTGCAAAACAAAATAAAAGAAATAAAATTGCAGCTAGGTATTTTTAGATTTTATATATGATTAAAGTAGATCCGGGGGGCATAGTTTTCACTAGAGGCTTCTCTCTCGAGCACATAACATACGATGGGTGAACACATTACTGTTGAGCAATTGATAGAAAATTGCATAGTTATGACAATATTCAAGGCAATGATCATGCATATAGGCATCACGTCTAAGACAAGTAGACCGACTCATGCCTGCATCTACTACTATTACTCCACCAATCGACCGCTATCCAGCATGCATCTATAGTATTAAATTCATGAAAAATAGAGTAACGCCTTAAGCAAGATGACATGATGTAGACAAAGTAAACTCAAGCAATATGAATGAACCCCGTCATTTTATCCTTAATGACAACAATACAAATATGTGCCTTGTCCCCTTCTGTCACTGGGATACAGAGCACCGCAAGATTGAACCCATTACAAAGCACCTCTCCTTCTCAAGATAAATCAATCTAGTTGGCCGAACCAAACAGATAGATCATAAGAAATACTAAGGTATAACAATAATGCATAATAAAGTTCAGAAAAGACTCAATTACTTTCAATGAATAATCTGATCATAAACCCACAATTCATGGGATCCCAACGAAGACACCGCAAAAGAAAATTACATCGGATAGAACTCCAAGAAGATCGAGGAGAACATTGTATTGAAGATCAAAGAGAGAGAGAAGAACCCACCTAGATATTAGCTATGGACTCGTAGGTCTGTGATGAACTACTCACGCATCATCGGAAGGCAGCAGGGATGACGCAAAAGCCCTCCGTGAACGATTCCCCCTCTGGCAGAGTACTAAAAAAGGCCTCCAGATGGGATTGCGGAAGAACAGAAGTTTGCAGCGACGGAAAAAATGTCGGGTGGCTCTCTATTGGTTTCCCAATATTTGACAACTTATAGAGGTGGAATTAGAATTTACAGTGTGAAGGATCAAAGATGCCTCAACCAAATTTTACTTTCCTTAGTTGATTTTTAGAGAGGGATTCCAGAAAAGTAAGCTCTTTAGAAACGCAATTGGGTGATACACCCTAAATGATGAGCTACAACAAGCAAGCAATCTACACAAGGCAAGACTACCAAGCAAGTAATCTCGAAGTTCGCACTATTGTGGTAATGCTAATATTGGTTGTAGAGGTGGAGGTCGACGAATGCCCACACGACAACGAATGTCTCACTAAGGCCAACTCCAACGCATGACCCCATTGATCTGCATGTATCTGTTTGAGTCCGAACGGACAAAAGCGAAGACCCAACATGCAGACCCTTGCCATTTCTTTGTCCCTTTTGTGCTCGCTCAGACCCATTTTCATCCTAAATTTACTCCTGATTTGAGTCCGAAGCGGACACAAACTAGAATTTTTTTCGTCCCCGTTGTCCGGCAGTGTCCGCTGCACTCCCTGCCTTCCTCACCAGCCATACACCCACCCACCCACCCCAACTCCAACGCACGACGACGGTTGTTGTTACCGCAGGCGAATCGGGGGGCAATTGTGGTTCTTAGGACAAGCCTTTGATAAACAATTACACTATTAATATGTAATTTTCATGATACAAATTCAATGACATCAATTTTATGTCGAAGCAATTGTGGCCCGACGATTTGTCCTACCGAGATCTGACATGCAGAGCAAAAAACAAAGGGGGTATATCAATTGACACTAGAAAATGAAGACACGTGACTATCAACGGTCATCTTTACTACTACACATGTCTCTGAAAAAGAAGCCTTATAAATTTTGTCTAAATTCAAACGGTGTCAAGTTTGATCAAGTTTATAGAAAAATATCAAAAACTACAATACCAAATTAATGTCATTAGATACTTAACAAAATATATTTATATATTATGTCTGTTTTTCTATTTTATTGTTCATGATTTTGATCATAAGTTTAAGAGCATCTACAACCGGACATGGCACATTCGACTCCTCAACGCGTCCATGGACAATGACCGGTCACGCCTCAATTATTTGATTCTACATTCGGGCATCTCAAATTAGAAATCTCAAATCCATATTATTACATGCAACATAAACCGATCTTTAAGCGGATCTCTCTGGTTCCGCCGTGCCCATGTCCGGCGGTAGGCTGAGCTTCCTAGAGTGTTGGTCTGGTCGCCGGCAAGGTAGAGTAGGGCATGTGACACGAGCCGGCTCAAGGGACTCAAGTCGTTGCCGTCTCCCATTCCCTACTCTTCCTCGTCGGAGCCCGGAACCCGAACGGTGTCGGTGGACTTCAGATCGATAATGGATCCATCTTGGGACGAGCCGACGACATCCATCACGCCGCGATTGTGGTGCCTGGACTGGTGCACCATACGGGGCGACGGAGAATGCGACTCCGCCTCGCCGACGTCCACCGCCGTCTCACTCGCCCGCTGCCTCGCATGATGGGCACGTCGTGCCATGTGTTGGGTTGATGGACACCCATTGTGCGTCCATGGCCTCGGAGTGCCAACGGAGGGGTTCCGCGTCCTCCACCGTGTTTGAACGCCAATCGGGCCGCACGACCTCCGGTGAGGCAGCAACGACACACTTAGTGTCGGATCCATGCACCATTTGGACAGACGGAATGGATTCCTAATGGAAGGAGTCTAAGTGCTGCCTCAAGGGCCTCCTCCCGGGAGCGGCGGAGCGCAAGCCGAATGGTCATCTCCTCGTCAAGGGCCGCGTGGGATGAGCCTGGGGTCGACGAATCTGGAGGTGAAGGAATCGAATCCGCTATCCGTTATGCTGGAGAAGGTCGGAGCTTGCCGGGCAGGAGCTTGGGTGGGGGAGGGGAGTGTAGGGAGTGGAATGAAGTGGCTAGGGTTTGATACGGCAAGCGGGTGGGGAGAAATATATGTGTGGGCCAGTGTTGGCCGGTGTCCGATGTGACGGATGCACCCGGGCGCTTCATATCCACTTCATATTTAGGTTGGGTATAAAGGGTGCCGGTCAGGTCGGACGTTTGAGGCATGCGTGTTTGAGGCAAGTTTGAGACGTTCGGCTGTAGATGCTTTAATTAAACTTTGCACAGTTTGACTTGAAACCAAAATTTACAAGGTTCTCTTTTTCAAAGATAGGGAGGGAGTATAGGGCCAGCAACTCGGCCCTCTTGAAGAAGACAGAGGTCTCTCCCATTCCCGCCGACTGCTTCCCCCAGCCAGACCAAACCAGCATGCGATGCGGCCGTACATCCCCAAGGCAACCTTCGCCTTCTGCCACTCGCTCCTCTCCTCCCGCTTCCGGCCGTCCGCCGCCGCCCCCGCGGCGCCGCTCCTCCCCGTCCAGGCCCTCCTCACCACCGCCGGCCTCTCCCCGCGCCACCCGGAGCTCTCCCTCGTCGCGCTCAACTCGCTCCTCCGCGTCCTCGCCCGCGGCGCCTCCTCCCAGGCCCACCCGCTCCTCGCCCTCCGCCTCCTCCTCCTCATGCTCTCCCCCGCCTCGCCGCTCCCCGGCCCCGACCACCTCTCCTTCCCCTTCGCCCTCTCCGCCGCCGCCGTGGCCCCCGTTGCCCCGCCCCCCGGCCCGCAGCTCCACGCGCTCCTCCTCAAGAACGCCCTCTTCCCCTCCGACCACTACGTCACCACCGCGCTGCTGCAGCTCCACGCGCCCCGCCCGGACGACGCGCGGAGGGTGTTCGACGAGTTGCCGCGGCGGGAGGCCATCCACTACGACCTGGTCATCGGGGCGTACGCGCGCGCCGGGATGGCTGCCGAGGGGCTGGCGCTGTTCAGGGCCATGTTCGCGGACGGGGTGGCGCCGGATGCCGTCGTGCTCACGACGGCCATAGCGGCGTGCGCCCAGTCCGGCGCGCTGGAGTGCGGGGAGTGGGTGCACCGGTACGTGGAGAGCAACGCGCCGGGGCTGCTTGCGGACGCGTTCGTCGGGTCGGCGCTGGTGAGCATGTATGCCAAGTGCGGCTGCCTACAGGAGGCGGTCAGGGTGTTCGAGGGAATGCCCGAGCGGAATGAATACGTCTGGGGCACCATGGTCGGCGCGTTCGCAGTGCACGGCATGGCGAGGGAGGCAGTGGCGTGCTTGGAGAGGATGGCAGGCGAGGACGGGGTGTGCCCGGACGGCGTGGCGGTGCTCGGGGCGCTGTCCGCCTGCGCACACGCCGGAAAGGTTGAAGACGGGCTCAGACTTCTCAAGGAGATGCGCAGGCGGTACGGGGTCACCCCGGGGCACGAGCACTTCAGCTGCACGGTCGACATGCTGTGCCGGGTCGGGCGGCTGGAGGATGCGGTGGGGCTGATCGGGACAATGCCGATGACCCCACTCGCATCGGTGTGGGGGTCTCTCCTAGCAGGCTGCCGGATGTACGGCAATGTCGAGTTGGCAGAGGTGGCAGCCAAGGAGCTTGAGAAGCTAGGCATGGGCGCGGACGAGGGCGTGTACGTCCAGCTGTCCAACATTTATCTGGACGCCAACCGCAAGGATGATGCGCGGAGGGTGCGAAAGCTGATCGGAAATCGGGGGCTCAAGAAGGTCCCGGCATATAGCGCGGTCGAGATCGATGGCGAGCTAAGCTCGTTCGTCGCTGACGACCAGGCGCATCCGAGGCGCTTCGAGATATGGGACTTGCTTGGGCTGCTCGCTGACCAGATGGGGCGGAAGCCAGACGAGGAGGAGGAGGAAGAAACAACCTTTTCATTGCATCCTTGTAACAAGAAAAACAAATTTGAAAACCATGTAACAGACTAACAAGTTAAGCAGTGAGCGCGGAGCAGCAAACGATATTTATTGATTTATTGCCAAGGAATATGATACTCAGGAAAGAACAGAGCAGTGTTCAGCACCAAACACAAAGTATTTTGCTTCGAATTTTTTCCTTTTCTTTCTAGTTTTGCTCAAATTTGATTGGGTCGTCTTGATATATGATGGAATGGTTCGCCAGCACTGCTTGACCTCTTGATCATACTGAAGTTTCCATTTTCCTAAGAGATTCTGTATTGTTGATTTCTTAGAGAATTTTTTGGCCTTAAAATCTTCAGCCATATTGCCTAATCAAATGCAAGGCTCAGTGTACCATATTATCTTTTGTAGGATTGTTCTTCTGGCATTAGGATTGTTCTTCTGGTATCATTAGGGTTACAATTACTATTTGACTTTCGGTTCTTATATTGGTGCACCTTTAACCCGCCCTGTATTTCCTGAACAGCGTAATTAAGGATTTGCTTCGCCCACTGATTGGATCATATGCTACTTAGTTAGGTAACCCAATTACCTGTCATTTCTAGTTCCATTATGGTTACTTACCTGTCAGTAGAATCTATCCTCACCTACAGGTTGCTTGGATGCTTAGTTCAGAGGCATCCATTTCTAATGTCAGAATATGTTGCAGACTTTAAGGTGTGCAATCCATACCATCAGGAGGGAAAAGATACCAGGAGACTTCTGTTTGCAAGCATATGTGGATGCTGAAATGGTTAGTATGGTATGAACCTTTCAGACAGTGCAGAAGGAATTATTCAAATCCTTTTCTAAAAAAAGGAATTATTCAAATACTCCCTCCGTTCCTAAATATTTGTCTTTTTAGAGGTTTCAAATGGTGACTACATACGGAGCAAAATGAGTGAATCTATACTCTAAAATATGTCTATATACATCCGTATGTGGTGACCATTTGAAATCTCTAGAAAGACAAATATTTAGGAACGGAGGGAGTACTTACGAATCATGAGTTCTAATAACAGCCTATTTCTTCCGAGTGGATATTTTGAACTTCGTGGTTGAGACAAACACTTTGATACCAACGAACCAAATTCTCAAGCAAGCAACATAGTGATGTTTATTCCTCATCCTTAGTGAATTATCATTTCTAGATAGCTAGGTACAAATTTGATAGACCATAAGGGGGATTCTACCCTCATCCATGTAGTATATGTTGCCATAGTAGTTGGTACACTAGACTGGTCATTTTCATTATCTTTGACAAGTAAGGATTTTTTTTTCATGTATACAAAATGTCTAGAACCTCCGGGTTTTGCATCTCATAGTGATATTGGAGAAGTCCTTTGAGAAGGATGTGATGATTTCCATGTTATTCCATAATAGCCTTTCTCCAGCCCGACCATTTTGGAACAAGCTTTTCCTTTTTCGCTCTTTCTCTTATCCTTGGTTCATTGTTTTCAGACGGGAAGGATAAACTATTATAAGAAGCTTTACATTCACATCAATATTTACAAGGTACAATACATTCATGCATAGGGACGAATGTGTGATATGAAACCAATCATTTTTCACAAACCGGTTTCTGTGGGATCTTTTCTCAAAAGATAACCAACAACCCAACATCTTACTTACTTACTTACATATCATCAAATTCCCCTAGAAACTGCAACGAGACGGGTGTTTTTCCATTCATCTTTCTTTCTCACAAATTGGCACCGTACATACATATAAATCGGTACCGTGTATAATAATGTTTCTGCAGTCTGCACAGTTCATGTTGAACTGGAAATAATACATCAATCGCAACTAGTACTAAATAATCGTAGCGTTCACCGAAGCGGGTATCGTGGCTGCTAGGCCGGCAGCACCGATGGAGCAACCCTGCAGGTGTTGTAGGACTGGCAATGGCAACACTTTCTCTGTCCCGTCATGCCCGGATACACCCGGGTCGTGTCCCAGCAGTGGTTGCACACGATCCATCCCTGCACCCACCCACAAACACACGCCACTAGTAATGGCATCAGAAAACCATCACATTTATATAACTTGCTACTACTAGAAGAATAGTGGTAATGAGTCTGAGTCAGTTGAAGCCTTTTTTTTAAGAAAAAGTATATTTTCAAATTTCCAGAAATTATGCAGTACTTTTTTTGCGGAAAAAATTATGCAGTACTCTTTTCCACAAGTACATATGCATTCTTATTATGTTCCTATAAAATTTCACAAAGAAACATGTTTATTTGAGGGCTACAAAAATATGTGAGTTGCAAATGTGTCACTGACCTTTCCCATGTGTAAGAACTTCGCCTCAATCTGACAAAAAGAGATACAAAAAAAAAATCTCAGGCCGGGGCCAAGAACATGAAGAGAAAAGGAACCAAGATGAAAATCATGCTTGCTACGGATCTTACTGAGAAAATACTTACCTCGGCATCTAAGGCCCTCAGGAATTTCTCCATGTCAAAGATGGACACGGAGCACATGGGGCAAGTGAACCTGCAGATACGTGGAGGATAGCGTTATCTATCTATCCAAGCAAGAAGAACAAGATCACACGAAAGGGATGGGATGTGTGGGTCGATAGGAAGGCATGGGCGATTACTTGTCGTGCTTGAGCATCTCGTGGAAGCACTGCAAGTGCATGGTGTGGCCGCATCGCAGCACCGACGCCTCCCTCAGGGAGTCGAACAGGTACTCGTAGCAGATCGGGCAGTTGTTCTTCATCGAGTCCTCGATGCAGACATGCTTATCCCGGAGGGTCACCGAGTAGCACGATCCTGCGGCGGCGGTACCCGGCGGATTGAGATACATATATGGTTGGAATCGGAGTGAATCGGAGTGATTCGGACTGTGTCATGGAAGGAATAAGGATCATGCTTGCTTACCGCACTTGTGGCAGTGAAAGAAGTTGTCCTTGCCTCCAACTCTGTTGGAAAAGATGCATGTATCACAGTTTCAGTTAGTCAGCTCGGCATCTTGAACTTTCAGGGCGATGTGTCAAAGTACAACAACTGAATGAAAGTGAAGACTCATTTGTGAATTTTGTACAATGTTGCATAATTTGGCCTGGTTTCATGTGCTCTCAGTCTCTCAATTAAGCATCAGTTCGGAAGATATGATAGGAGTAGCTACCTGCAGATGCCGCAGTCTTTGCAGTGGTATTGCTCCTTGTCGACCTGCACAGCAGCAGCAAGATCCCATCAACAACAACCCAATCACCACCAAATCCAAATCCAAATCCAGCACAGGCACAGGGACAGGGATCTCAATTCTCACATCGTCGTCGAAGAATTTGCACGCCCGGCAGAAGTACTCCCCCATGCACACGCCGCAGTTGCTGCACACCTGCGCGACCTGATGATCACCACCAGTGCCAAACTGTTAGTGTTATACCCAAACTCTGAAACTAGACTATTAGCAGCACAAGAAAGAAGAAAGTGGGGAATCGCCGTCAGATGCTAACCGGCTGCTCGGTGTCACAGACGAGACATATAACCTACGGAAAAAGGAAATGTTGTTTTGTTAGCGAGAAAGCTGAAGGTGAAGTCAAGAAACAAGATTTCCGGGCACTGGGAACATAATAGATAGTATGAGAAATGAAGAGGAGGAAGCAGTGAGAGAAGTGCGCACCGATTCAACTGCGTGGCGGTCGAGCTCGTGCCCGTCTTTCTAAGCCCGATCCAAGAAGAACAAGATGCAGTTGGAAAGACAGAGATTATCCAAAGAACGAAAGAAATGTGAGCATCATCAACCCAAGCAGACCAGAGAAGAGAGCAAGGAGAAGAGAGGAAGAGCAGAGCAGAGCAGAGACCGTGGAGTCGTTGTGGCAATGGCGGCAGTGGAAGACGTCGTTGCAGCAGGGCGCCCGGATCCTGCACCGCCTCCTATAGTGCTTGCACCTGCGACCACACACCCCGAGGTCAGCTACTGCTCCAGCCAAGGATAGTAGTACAGACAAGTAGCAGGGGCGAAAGGAGAGGCGGACGGACCCGAAGCCCATCTTGGCGAACCCGTGGCGAGCGGCGTCGAGCTCCATCTCCATATCCATTGGCGAGATTGCTGTTCTTGTCCGGGCTCGACGGAGGCGGCGGCGGCGGCGGCGGCGGCTTCGGATCTGGCTTCTGCTCTGCTTCTAGCCTTCTACTGCCGTTGCTGCCTGTTGCCGCGCTCGCTTAGGAGGGCGAGGAGAGCATTTTTATACTGTCACTGCAGTCTAGCGTGCCTGCCTACCCCTCTCTTCTCTTCTTCCTCTACAGTTGTAGTATGACTGAAGAAGTATAGTTTCCGGAGCGCAGAGGATCTACATGGATAGACCTACTGCCATTTCTTTAACTTATCAAGAATTCAAGATCCAGGAGGGGAGCCTTTGCGCATCTTTCTTTCTCCCTCTTGTTTATACTCGTAAGCAATTATCAACAGCGTTGCTTTTTGTTACGGGAAGGAGGTGGTGGCGTGCGGGCGGGCCAAAGATGGAAGCTCCGAAAGCACTCGGGATGGGATGACGATTCTTTACTCCTCCGGCGGGTCACTGCGTTCTAACTCCACTGCGCACGCGTCAGCCCATCACTCTGAATTACACTCTATCGTCACCGCTCACCGGAGGCGCGCGGAAGAAGACCTCTGACCCGGACGGCTTCCCGTGAAAGCCCCGAATCCTCTGAATGTACGTACAGTATATCTCATCAGTTTGACTGACGCCGGGGGCAGATCCCCAAGCATAAATGTACGTTGGTTTGTTGATCGGTCCTGTCAAGGTCGACCTGACGCCCCTTCTTCCCTGTTTCTTTACCAGGCAGGATCGGGATGGCGCAGCTGCAGGCAGCACTGGGCAGTAGAGTATTTCATTCATGTGGATGTGGATCATGAAGCCGAGATTTTTCATACTCATTCATTTCGCCGCCGATCGCTCCATCATGATCGGTGTACAGAACATGATTTCTTTTCTTTGGTCGATCGGATCGCCTTGCTGCCCTGCCTGCTCGCGTATACGAGTACTAATAATTGGACTGATGACGCTGGGTTGTGTAAGTGTAACCGTAGTAGTGGCGCGCACGAGTCGCCCGGGGATCTCGTGACTGACTGACATCACGTGGGCTAGCATGGCGGCTTGGAATCGTCATCCACTGCAAGTTGCCCGCCGGCCATGCACAGACACGACCAGCTCTGCTCTGGGACCGAGATCGGTCTGGGGCTCGCGCGCACTCACTTGTCACAAGAGCATCGCTGCCGATACTGCCTTATTTTTAATCGTCGTGCGGACGTGCACACATAGACGGCGATTCTTACCAAGACACACGCACGCACTTTGACTCCGTAGCGGTTCCCATCAAGCCTCGATGCTTTCATGTCGGCCCCTCCGGACTCCCTGCAGCACTGTAGTTTTTTTTTTATCGAATACGCTAAGGTAGCGTATCATTGCATTGATAGGAGGGTTAGAACAAGTACAAGGAAGGGGCCATAGTCTCGTACACACGAATGGCAAGGCTATGGACCCGGAGGAAGCAGAAGACATGGGGATGCTCAGCCCCAAGGGACTACATGATAAAGTTACAAGATTGCGCGCAGCCATCCCTCGAGCTCCTGCCGCGGCCCAGGAGCGAGCTTCGTCTTTGATTGCCGCAATGAGTGTGGCAGATGAAGGGGCCACTTTGTCGAAGATGATCGCGTTCCGGTGCCGTCATAGCGACCAAGCCGTGAGTGATGCAATGGTGGCCAGGCCTCGACGCCGAGAGGTCGGGGTGAGCAGCATGGCAGCAGAAAGCCAAGCAAAGTAGCTTGTAGAGCCGTCGGGGGTAACGGTTGCTGGGGAGCACCATGATAGGATCTCGTGCCAAGTGATCCACCATGACAGGATCGCCGTCGCCGCCTGTCTACCTCCTCCACGGAGCTCCCCCTCGTCGCGACGCTCCAGACGTCGTTGCCCCGATCCTGCGCCGCCCCGCGCCCTCGTTGCCGTGCGCCGTCGTCGGCACCAACCCTGTCGACGGATCGCCTTCGCCGCCAACCCCGTCGCCGGTCCGCCCCAACAGTCGCCTCCTCGCGTCCCCGTCTCCCCCTCAACGGCCCACCACGAGCCTCGCCGCCCCCGTACCCCTGCAACGCCCGTGAGCAGCTGCCTTCTCCCTCCCCTCTGCCCTCCGCACTCGCCGCCCTTCTCCATCCACCGTGGCCGCGCCTCGACGCTGCTGCTCTCCCCTGCTCCGCGCCACCGCACCATCCGCAGCCTCCAATGCGCCCGCGCGCGCCCGTCGTACACCGACACCGCCCCGGCCGTGCTCACTGCGGCCCAGGCTCGCTAGGCCGCGCGCCCCCGACGCCGCGCTCCGGCGCTCTCCTCCCGCACTTGTTCCGGCCAGCGCCCACGCAGCCCCTGGCCGCCAGAGCTCGTGCCCACCTCCCGCGACCCCGCTGCTGCCGCCGGCCGCCCCTGTCCCGCTGCTCGCTGCCGCACCTCGTCACTGTTCGCTGTCGCTGCCACCGCCGCCCCGCGCGCCCACGGCTCCGGTCTCCTCCACCCCGCCTTGCCCGCTCGCCTCGCGCCTCCTGCTTTCCCGCGCCCCGCCTCACCTCCGATGCCGCCCGCCGGCGCCACGCCATCGCCGGCGTTCGTCCTCACCAGCCACCTCGCCGTGCGACTCCGGCCCGTAGCCGTGGCCGTCGCCCTCCCTGGGGCCTCGGGCACGAGCGCCCGCATCCGGCGCCCGCCCCGTTAACCGCCGCCTGAACCCACTATGGCCCCTGTGCCTATGGCACATGGGGCCCGCCCCTGAGAACGTTTAATAATATTATTATTATTATTAAAAATTAAAAGAATTAATTAATTAAAATAAATAACATCAATAATTAATTAATTAATTAAAGAATTAATTAACTTAATTAATCTTGTCTAATTAAACTAAACAATTAATTAAGCTAATTAATCATAATTAGGTTAACCAAATAACTAACTGAACTAATTAAACTGTTAGTTAATTAACTAATTAATCAGTCAATGACAGTGGGGCCCACCCCTAATTAATCCTGTTTAGTTTAGCTAAAACTAGATAATTAAAAAGTATCACTGACAAGTGGGACCCACACGTCAGGTTGACCAGTCAACCTCTGTTGACTGTTGATGTCATGCTAACGTCATGATGACGTCAGCAAACACTATTCTGGATAATGTTGAATTTAAATAATTAAATAAATCCTAAAATATTTTAAATCTTTTAAAATCAATATAAAATAAACCGTAGCTCGGATCTAAAAACTTTATACATGAAAGTTGCTCAGAATGACGAGACGGACCCGAATACGCTACCTACATACATGTCGGATGCCTCTAACTATCTGAACATGGAACATTCCCCCTTCGGTCATCTGTCTGACACAGGTCCGGAACCGGGAAAACATTCCCCCCTTCACCTATATCGTGTAGCCATACGTTAGGTCACACCCGGCACATCTTATTGCCATGTTATGCTTTGTGGTGCTATGTTTGCTTTATATTTACTGTTTCTTCCCCCTCTTCTCTCTAGTAGACCCCGAGACCGATGCTACCCTTGTGATCGACCCAAGAGCCAAGGCCCGGCAATGGAGGTACGGAGCTGCTGAAGCTCGTTGAGGAAGTCCTGGATTAGGGGGTGTCCGGATAGCCGGACTATACCTTCGGCCGGACTCCTGGACTATGAAGATACAAGATTGAAGACTTCGTCCCGTGTCCGGAAGGGACTTCCCTTGGCGTGGAAGGCAAGCTTGGCGATACGGATATGTAGATCTCCTACCATTGTAACCGACTCTATGTAACCCTAGCCCTCTCCGGTGTCTATATAAACCGGAGGGTTTTAGTCCGTAGGACGAACAACAATCATACCATATGCTAGCTTCTAGGGTTTAGCCTCCTTGATCTCGTGGTAGATCTACTCTTGTACTACCCATATCATCAATATTAATCAAGCAGGAGTACGGTTTTACCTCCATCGAGAGGGCCCGAACCTGGGTAAAAACATCGTGTCCCTTGTCTCCTGTTACCATCCGCCTAGATGCACAGTTCGGGACCCCTACCCGAGATCCGCCGGTTTTGACACCGACATTGGTGCTTTCATTGAGAGTTCCTCTGTGTCATCACTTTTAGGCCCGATGGCTTCTCCGATAATCAACAGCGATGCAATCCAGGGTGAGACCTTTCTCCCCAGCCAGATCTTCGTATTCGGCGGCTTTGCACCGCGGGCCAATTCGCTTGGTCATCTGGAGCAGATCGAAAGCTACGCCCCTGGCCATCAGGTCAGATTTGGAAGTTTGAGCTACACGACCGACCTCCGCGGAGACTTGATCTTTGACGGATTCGAGCCACAGCCGAGCGCGCCGCACTGTCACGATGGGCATGATCTAGCTCTGCCGTCGAACAGTGCCCTGGAGGCCGCACCCGCATCAGCTCCGACCCTTAATTCGAAGCCAACTGCGCCAATCGAGGATGGGTGGTTGGACACCGCCTCGGGGGCTGCAATCTTTACGACGATCGAGCCGAACACCAGCCCTATTCTCTACGAAGCCCATGACTCCAAGGAGCCGAACTCCTCTCCAGAATCCGAGCCCTCCGCGCCCCTACCGATCGAACCCGATTGGGCGCCGATCATGGAGTTCACCGCCGCGGACATCTTTCAGCACTCGCCTTTCAGCGATATTCTTAATTCACTAAAGTCTCTCTCTTTATCAGGAGAGCCCTGGCCAGACTATGGTCAGCGAAGTTGGGAGGCGGATGATGAAGAAATTCAAAGCCCACCCACCACCCACTTCGTAACCACTGTCGATGATTTAACCGACATGCTCGACTTCGACTCCGAAGACATTGACGGTATGGACACCGATGCAGGAGACAATCAAGAACCAGTGCCTATAGGGCACTGGAAAGCCACCTCGTCGTATGATATATACATGGTGGACACCCCAAAAGAAGGCAATGGCGGTGGAACAGCGGAGGATGACCCCTCCAAGAAGCAGCCTAAGCGCCGGCGTCAGCGGCGCCGCTCTAAATCCCGCGAAAGCAAAAACGGTGATTTCGGCACGGGA